ATTTAAAAAATTCTGCAATAAGCTATCCGACCACATAACATTTATGATAGCCAAATGGGCCTGGCTTCAAAATATATATGATGTCAACTATAGGGGAAACTGAAGCCCAACTCTCTTTGTTTCTGAGCCTGCTAATCACAACAGCCCATCATGGCGAAAGCACCAATTTCGTGAGTATCCAGGAATTGTGCTATGACTCAATAATTAAGCTCTTGAATCTTGATCAAGATGGTATACAAATTAATCTTGATCCAGGAAATTTTTCTTGGTTGATCTGAATTGTTATAGTTTATAGGCAGATGTGAGAGTAGAGCGTACTGAGCAGAGCGGAAATTATCAATATTTTTAGAGTGATTTAAGATCTATTATAAATATATATTATGTAATCCTAGATTAACATATAGTAAAATAAAAGTTCATTACTTCTTATGTATAAATATGTTGTTGAACTATGTTAAATCTTGTATTTTTTCATAAATTTCACAACATTAATGCTCAAGGATCATATGACATGATCCCAATATAGACCATTTTTCTTCTCTTTTTTTCTTTTCTTTTTTTAAATAAATAAAAAAAAGCCCTGTTGTATGAATATTTTGTCAAGTAATAGCGCGATCACATGAAAGAGCGACAAAACTGCCAATCTCTTCCTTTAATTTCCTCAAGCGGAAACCAGAAAGATAACTTTAACCAACAAAAAGCAATGATTTGCGGTCTATGGAAGCAAATATTTTGAAAAATCTTCGATAAAGCCAATCTCAAAAATGAATGTATGAAATTATGGGTCCCAATAAATTAACCCTCATAAACCAATATTTAAAAACCTAATTTTTTTTCACTACTCTATCTAAGTCAATTACATATGAATTTACCCCCTATCTTATCCATAATTAAAAAAAATTAGTGATACTTTTTTTCTTTGTTTTTGAAATGCCTGTCAAAATCCTATGAATTTTTAAAGTTAAAATCATGACATGAACTCATTTAAAAATAAATTTCAATCTAACTCAACAAAAATCAAGTCTATTAGGAAGTGATTTGGTGACATGAGAATTTTCAATCCTATATTCTACCTGATGAGCTATTTCGTTTATTTTTGATGCTCCGTATTTCTAATTTTATTAAATGATATGCTTAATTAAAAAAAAACAAAAAGATATTCTAAAATCTTATCATTGTTAATCATTCCAATGTTCAAAAAAGATTCCTTGTTTTACTCAAAGAAATTCATTTGAATATCTATTCTATTTATTAAAAGATTTATTAATGACGAGCTGTGGCAATCATACCTATCAAAGCAACTAAAATTTTTTTAAAATAAATTTAAGTGGAAGAAACAAATATGTTGATAAATGAATTTCAATTTGTTGACCATTACTTACCAAATCTTGCTCTATAATCTGGTTTGATACCCTCATAAACTAATATGTATAAACCATATATTATATCAGGCGAGCTCCACGCACGTGTCTTTGATTTTCCTAGACCTTGTTACCGGGGCACATTGAACATGATGCTCAATGCAGAGTGTTAATTAGGGCTGTAGAGCCATGTACCCACACATTCAACATGCTACCAAAAATCAGAAGAAAACGAGTCGTGGAAGCTAGCAGCTTTTCAATTTGTTAACCCATGCTATATGTACATATTATTTCTGCGAATTAATTTGATTTCATATGGATATGATCATTTATGAAAGTGACGCGAAACCTCCCACGTGATCCTAATGCTCTCTCGATATCAGACCCTACCTGATCGGTGCATTTTCCTTTAATTTGTTTCTGTGTCAGTGATGACGTTTTCTGGTTGCAGTTGGCGGCGGCGGTAATCTTGGAGGAAAACGGAATAAGGTAAGGGGTGTGTCTATATACTACTTCATTGGAGGAGTCTTTGTTTTAGTGCTAGTGGAAAGTATTGCTGGGCGGTGTGCGTTGGTGAATCCTTGTAGCTACAAGGAGAAATGAGACCTTATCGTGTTTTTGGAAAATGACATCTCAGTAAAGCTAAAACCACGTACATTGCGTAGCCCGATTCTTTAATCTCGTTTAATATTATCGTTGTTGTTTTTAAAAAAAATTTTATTAAAAATTATTTTTAATATCAATACATTAAAAAAAAACTAAAAAGAATTAATTTAAAATAAAAAATTAGAAAAAAAAAATTAAAAAGAATTAATTTAAAATAAAAAATTAATAAAAAATATTTTTTGAAACACAAAAATAAATATATTTTTAATTAAAAAACAATACTAATAAAGGTCTGCAATGTGAGAGTTGCTAGCGTAAATATTTAACAATATTATGGCAAAGACCTCCCAATTCTCCTTCTTCAATGTCATCATGATACTCAATAAAAAATGATTACACAAATGAAGAGTGACTCTTACTCCTAAAATACTATCAACACCTTCCATGGTTATGAGCAAATTCAATTGGAGATCTGCGTATGCATGTAACTGACGTCTCCGTCCACTGCTTTTCCCTCAGCAAGAGATACTACTCGTTCCTGACGAGGTAAATTAAGAATATATATATATAAACATCATCTTCAATTAAAAAATCTAGACCGATGAATTATAGACCCATCTTATCTTATATATAAGTATCCTATTTTATTTTATTTTCAGTATAAGATATCTATCAATCATACTACACTCTACATTTCACTATTCATAGATTTTTATATTTGTAAAATTGATTGAGTCTATTTAGTAATAGAAATAATTTTTTCAATAAAAAATTAGAAAACATGTTCATTTATTGAAAATAAAGAATTTTTTTATAAAAAATAAAAAAACATGTCAAGATTATATCAATTTAAAATTAAAAATCAAGACCATAATTTATATTCATGATAATCTTATTATGAATTTTAATTTAATTTTATTAGGATTTAAAATTACAGGAAAAGATTTTATTTATTAGCTCAAAAAAATATCTTATATTATATTTATAATTAAAAAAATGAATTTATGACGGTAATTAAACATGAAGATGTAAAAATAATTTTAATGTTTTAAATTGTAGGAAATACATGTATATAAAAGGAAAATATTTTATTATTGACTTTTTTTAATTTTAAAAAATATTATAAAAATATAAAACCTCTAAAATATGTTTAAAACTAAATATAAGTTTAAGAAATTAGTTTTGTTTCAATGATTTAGAAGAAAAGTTTTATAATGCATAAGGAGGTAAATGATAACATCATATTAGTTATATTTTAAAAAAATATAACAAAAAATTCATAGTCATAAAAAATAATAAAATTATTTTAATTTTATATTTTTATCTTTGTCTTGTATCCATAAATTGATATTAATAGGATGTTATTACTTATTTTCTATATACTATAAAAATTTCTTGATTTATATAGAAAAATATTAAATTTAAATAGAAAATTTTACCTTTTCTTTTTTAATGTGATTTTTTAAATTAAAATATTACTCTCTTTTAAAACAAGCACATTAATCTTCACAAAATTCCAAAAGAATGTTAATAGAAAATATGAATTCTCTATAGCAATTCTGCATTAGTTTACCGTACAAAAAAGAGTGTGCATCGCACTTGATCGCTTGTTCTTGGCGTTGAGCCCAAGAGGCACGTTGACTTCGAAATTGGAGGGATTTATTAACGGGAATCGAGAACTGACGCGTGGCTATCATGATCCGCAACCCGAGATGTAGACCATGATTATCGACTAATTTGGTTGCTTACGATAAGAAAAATAATAAGTAAGGACCTTAACCGAGGAATTGAAGGGAAGGAAGGCATGCCACGTAACCCGATTATGCACGTGCAATGGCAATGCAACAAGCGTGACCTTGACGCTTTCTCTTAATTTAGTTTAATTAACTAATTCATTCCCTTGTGTTATTTATTTATTTTATTTTGGTAAAATCCCCATGAGAAGGTTCACTCTGTCGAGTCCATCGTGCAAAATCTTTAAATTACCAAACTGTACATGTCTTAGTCACAACATATTTTCAAACAATTAACATGAAAATTCTGGATGCTAAGTTCTTATCACCGGTCACTTTTTAGATAATTGTTTTGGATTTAACAATATAATGAGAACATTAATACCATAAATGCTAATTTCAAATAAATGATCAAATAGATAAAGATAAAGATAATTATAATTATTATATTTTATGTCCACAAATAAAAATAATTATAATTATAATAAAGGAAAGAAAAAAATATTTATTTTCATCTTTATTATATAAAAATGAATTGCATAATATACATACAATAGCAATTTAGAATATATCCATAGTTGATAATAACTAATTAGTGATAAATAAGCATTTATAATTGATTTTGGTTACGGGAAAGAAAGGCCTTTTCTAAGTCCTTTTTTTCTTTCAAAGATGGATTTATTACATTATCATCGTCACAAGCATTTTATTCTCTCTCTTTCTATTTTTTTTTTCAAAGAATTTTACAACTAGAATAGAATTACTCCATTTTCACAATCGATTTGTTTAAATCTAATTTATACTCTCAAGACAAAGTTGCTTTAGTGCTTTACAAATTATTTTTATTCAGAAATATTAAATTAATGTATTTTCAAATATTTATTTATAATTTTAATATATTAGTGTTAAAATTAAAAAAATAAAAATAATTTTTATATATTTTTTATTAATAAAATCTCGATTCCTTACCAGACACCCACTCCATTCCATAAAGAAAAACTACAATCCACGACACATAAGGACATATTGGTCATTTAAACTCTCAGAGTCAGAAAAGGACAATGTTAAATTATAACAAGCTTTGACTTGTCGATTTCAATCACCATCTTGATGTGGCCAATGAGGAACTGCCATGTGAGGCAATAGAGCTTCAATGAGACAGCTCACTGTAACCAGGACCACACAAGCACACACATGAACCCTACCTTCCTTAACCCAAACGGCTCGCAACCGCCCACGTTTGTATCAATCAAAATCATGCTGCAACACCCAAACGCCATATTTCTAGTCCCCACACACATGCGCTTGCACTAACTCTCACACAATATCACACCAATACACATCCTCTTATATCACCCCAAATCTCTCCCTTTCCTTCCATATCTCTAACCAGATCAAACAAAAAAGAGATATACAGTACTGCTTACGAGCATGTACTCTGCTGGTGACCAGATGATGTTTCAATGCCCTCCTAGGCCATTGCCAATGGAGAGAAAATGGAAATCCAAAATCGAAGTTGCTCCAAATTGCCCTCGTTGTGCTTCTCCGAACACGAAATTCTGCTACTACAACAACTACAGCTTGTCACAGCCTAGGTATTTTTGTAAGGGTTGTAGAAGGTATTGGACTAAAGGAGGGTCGCTAAGAAATGTTCCTGTAGGTGGTGGTTGTCGCAAGTATCGCAGAGCGAGGTCCTCTAAGATCTTGCAGAATGAACGTGCTGCTGTTTCGCTTGATTATAGTAGGGCTAATGAGACATTAGCTTGTTCCTCGAATAAAGACTCAGTGGCTCAACAAGATGGAGCCAACGGCTCCGATATTGATCTAGCTGCTGTTTTCTCTAAGTTCTTGAATCAAGACTTGAGTTATGGGCCCGAGTTTATTGGTGAAGAATTGCGTGATGAGGGCAGTGAGTTGGTTAATATATCGAATTCTTCAACCCCAATATCAGACAGCTACCAAAATGATCCGATGATGGAAAGCCTGAAGCGATCTGATCTGGCCCAAGAATCCAATTTACTTGAAGGGAGATCTCAGGTGCTTGTAGGAGAGAAGCAACAATTTGAAGAGGAGAGATTTCAAGAACTCATGGAAAGTCAAGACATGAATGCATTTGGGTTGCAAAATTTACTGATCGATGAAATTGTGCAAGATGCTTTGTGGTCAGATGATGCAACCTTGCCTAATGTTCCTAATTGGCAACCCATGGTACAATTGCAAGATTTTGATTCATTTTCAGTGGATGATCGTCTAAAGATTTCAGCCAATTTTACCAGCGACAATAATTGGAGTTCTTTTGATCTCTCGGGGTTTGAGGTTTATCCAAGACCTTGATACATACTTTACTATATATTAACCTTTTTCGATTTTGTATTTTATGATCTTGTTCTTCTTTACAGAAGCAAGATTTACTGTTAAATACCCATGAAAATGAAAGATTATGGCATGTGAGAATGAAATGAAAAGATATTAGAGATATTTACTTTGTTTTCTCTTTGTTATTGATTTGGCTGTAATGGACGACGAAAAAGATTTTGCAGTGTCAAAACGAGAGTTCGAAAAGTAGAGTTCTATAATTAAACCAGCATTGTATCCTACATGGAGGAATCATTTATACGTGGCTTAAGGAGAACCGTACATGCACAGTTACTAAAGCCTGAGGAGTTGACCCAAAATCTTATTTAGACTGGGTTTTATTTTAAAGATTAGGTTTCATTTTTACATTGACCTGATTAAATTAATGTGATTTTACAAGTTAGATTTTTTACTTGTTGACCCGGATGGATCTATTCAAGTCAAAATCAATATTTAAAAAAATATTAAGACAATATTATTTTAAACAAATCATAAAATTAAGTTAACTATTAACCCGATAACTCATGTCCTAGACCAGGTAATATCTCAAGGTCGATTGGGCTGAGAAAATAATACACTCCAGAAAATGGACAGAGGAAAAACAGAAAAGCATTGCCCCAGCAGAAATCATATCCTAAACTAGTGCAGATCTCAAGTCAATTGGGCCAAAAAAATACACTAGAAACGGGCCGATGAAGAAAAATGCATTTCCGCAGCAAAAATAAGCGATTGCCTATATTATTTAGCAGAAATAATTTTCAAATCATTTTCCCCTATGTCAATCAAAATTCTTTTTTGATTCTTAGTTTTTTACATTCATACTTAGTTAATAATGTTAGAACTTAGAAGGAAGGAAAAGTCGGACTGAATTTGACTATCACAGTAAAATATTAAACAAGTCCATCTCTTACCTAAAAATATAAACAAGTTCAGTTAAAAGTTCATTGGTTTTTTGAAAGATCTAGCTGCGTATATATCTTCTTCACAGAGGCATTCTTCTTGTTTCTCCAATCTATTGCCCTTTTTTTAATATTGAAGGAATCAGTTGATCATCATCTTGTAAACTATTCTATTTGAAAGATTTGGCTCGGTTCTGTGAGTTGTGGGTTCTGCTGATGGTATAATTAAATGTATTAATCAAAAGATATATCCTCCTTGGATAAACCAGATCCTGTTGGAATTGGTGGAGTATTGAGAAATGATGCTGATTTGTTTTGATTATATTGGGTACTGGTTTTCTGTATAATCTTTAGTTCCATGGTATCTTGGTGTTGGGGTTCGTGTTTTCGAGCCCCTGTTGTTCTCTATTCTTGTGTTGGTGCTAATAATATTTGGTATATTGATTTCCCTGTTGTTCTCTGTTCTTGTGTTCCATTCATCATTTTTTTCTTGGTGCTAATAATATTTGGTATATTGATTTTATAAATTAACTATAAATCTAAGATACGTGGGGAATTCACTATGAAAAATGCACAGTGGTTACCTCACATGACACTCTTATCCAATTATTTACGGTATTTTTTATTTTAATTTGATCTTTATTGAACTAAATTATAAATCTTGAAAAAAATTAAAATTAAAATATATGATATTAGATTGCAAAACACAAGGGAATGAGTGATTTTAAAAAAGTTTGGATGAAATATTAATTGTAATCTCTATACATTTAAATTATAAATATTGCTTCCTTTAGATTTTTAAATCTAAGAGTAAAATTAATTTTCACATCAAACTCTATTTGCATTATTTTTTCCTCCTTGGTTTAAGAGAGATGAGAGGAAGCCACTAGAATCCAGCAATAATACGAGTAAATATATGAGCTTGGTAATTTTTAATTTTAAATTTTGAGATAATTTTTTTTTTATTTATTAAAATTATAAATAAGTTTATCAAGTTATTTATGATATTTTCTATATGTTATAAGTAAAAGATATTTTAAAAAATTAAATTTTAGATCTAAAAAATTTCTCCCCATACTTTTTATCTACTTTGATGGCTAGAAACTAAGTCATATCAAATAATATGTTATTTAACTAATTTTTATTTTAAAAATAATTAAAATAGATATATATTTCATTAAAAACAAAATAAAAATTAAGAATTCAAGCAGGTGGTCCTGCTTTTGCAAGCACATGGTCTTGCTTTTGCAGGTAAGCCCTTGCTAGATGTGTTAGGCCTAACAATGACTAGCTTTTTTTATATATAAATATTTGTTTTAATTAATTTTTTTAAAAATGTGTTTTATCAAAATAATTTTTAAATTTATATTTAAATTAATATGCATTCTTTCTTTTATTTTGTTAATCTAGCCTCTTTTAAATAATAATTATTTTTTAGTTATTTTGTATGTATTTAATTTTTTGATAAATTGTTCTAATTTATCTATAATTTTTTTATGTTTTATATTAAAAAATTATTTTAATAAATTAAAAATTATTTATTTTTAAATAATATTTTAAATATGTGTAAACTTGTATAATATTTTTTTTACCTTTTATTTTATTTAATAAATTTCATGTGTATCTATTTTTATTATCATTTAATTAAATAAAAAGTTGATTTTCGTGAACAAAGTCATAAAACACAATCTTGTCAAAGATTAGAATTGCAATGTCAAATATCTTGGTTTATATCTAATTTTTATTTTTATTTATTGTTAATGATATTAACATATATAATTTTTAATTTATTTAATTTATTAGATGTATATATAAGTTTTTCAATTGTCACTTTTGATGTTTTTTAAGCAAAACATGGGTTATATATATATACCCCCACTCAGAAAATCTTATACCTATAGATAGTCGGGTAAAATGTAATCGTAATTAGATAAGGTTATTTGGCAAAGCATCAAGTGATTTTATGAGCTAAATTAACTAGAATTAACATCTTTTGTCAATTCTTTTTTTGATAAACATAAGATTAGTTGGCAAAAAAATTAGTTATCAAAGCAGTTATTCAAATTAAAAAACTTCTCCCCGAAGTATTATAATTCTTCAATTTAGTCTGCTATTAAAGATTTTCCAATTTTCAGACGGTACATGTCAAGAATTTTACAAAAACGTATTACTGTATAGCATATGCTATGCGATTTGTAACATAAATATTTACGAACTAGATTTTGTAAAGGTAAATGAAAAATGGCACGTCGTTTAATCTAGCGTATATACTTACCTATTTTTCGGAACAAATATTTAGTTTTCATTTAAAAAATAGCATGTGCAAAATCGAAAAATATGAAATAATTAAAAAAATCTGAAGAAAACAAATATCCCTCTTGCACCACACAATCAAATAAAATCTTTCAAGCAACTAGAAAATTATCCTCTAGTGACACATATTACTTAATTTGTTTATTCTTACAGTAGATTAATTTAACCGACAATCCAGTGGATTATATAGTACACGGTTCTTCCGAATTTGATATCTTGAACTTGCCACTGCATATATATCACGGCAAGATAATGGATCCATATCGAGTTAAATAACTTCGAATATCCTCCAAATATCTCCAAAACCATCTTTATTATTCGTTCAATTCCGATAGCAGCTCTGCAAAAGAAATTATGAGAAATTAGTCATTATAATAACCCTTTTAAAATATTAAAGAAATATAAACTAATTCAAAAGTTTGAAACATAGGGATAACCTTTTTTTTTTAATCCAAAATCGTCTTACTATTGAGGGAGTGAATTTAAAAGTAGTAAGAATATTTCTCGTACAAAAAAGGGTGTTTTGGAGGATATTTTTGTGAAAAATTATATTTTTTATGACAATATCTTGATATTAATTCAGCCTTCATTTTTTCTGCTATTTAGTTTTCTGAACCTTTAAAAATTAGTATTGATTAAGTATTCCGGTAACATGTTTTTCAAGAGTATTTAAACAAGTACTGTAGTACATGTCATTAGTATTTGGAATAAATGTAAGAAAATTGAAGCATATAAATTGAAATAAATCTTCGAAAAAGTATAAATAATGATAATTTGTGTTTATCTCATCAAAGAACTTCTGCTTACTCCTGGTTTGATCTGGGAACATGTCAAATATGGTACTTGCTGCCTTCAAAAGTTTCTGCGAATTTACATAAGAAACATCGTAAGAAACGCAGCTATACATGCGTGTGATTGTACAGATGCAAAGAGAATGGAGAAATTTTGAGGAAGTAAAAATTGATCAATTGCTCATACCAGCATAACGTTAACGTCAACGACTTCGCCTTGTTCTTTCACTACTGTGATTTCCCTACACATGTTCATAGTCTTCCTTGGTCAGTTGAAAATCTTTAATTAACGCGTAAAAGTTCTTAATCACCTGAGTTTTTTTTTTTTGACATAAGAAACGCAGCTATACACGCGTGTGATTGTACATATGCAAAGAGAATGGAGAAATTATGAGGAAGTAAAAAATGATCAACTGCTCATACCAGCATAATGTTAACATCTACGACTTCGCCTTGTTCTTTCACTACTGTGATTTCCCTACACATGTTCATAGTCTTCCTTGGTCAGTTGAAAATCTTTAATTAACGCGTAAAAGTTCTTAATCACCTGAGTTTTTTTTTTTTGAACTTAGAATTTAGAGAGGGAAAAAAAAACATGCAAGTAGAGATGATGGGACTATTTCATTTGCTCTCTTATGTTTGCTTGGACGGCCCATTTTATCTTGGCCATTGGAGAACAAATGGATCTCGTCCATTTCTCGGCATTCTTTCCGACCCATCTTAAAATTATATCCGTGCTTATGAAGTGAAATCTCCTTCAAGATTACTAGTTCTGATCAGTTTATAAATCGATCAGCTGTTCCTTGAGACCATCGAGAAATTCAATTCAAACAATAAGAGCCCTTCCTTCCAGATTAATTGATACAGATTACCATTATACTAAAACATGGAGTAAAAAAAAAATATTTCAATCAAATTATTGCGCACCTGATCAAGGGTTTTTGGCCAAACTCGCATTCAAAGTCAGTGCAAAATCTGGTGAAGGGTATAACTTGATTATTCCACTCTGAAAAGGAACAAAATAGTTTAACAGTTGAATCTAGCTTACGCGCGCACATATAGATAATTAGATATAGATATATTTCCAAGAGGTCAAGGTAAAAGAAAAGCTGTTGTATCTAATTAATAA